GCCCAACAAAGGGTATATAACAATGTATGATACTTTGTTTTGAACATACTTATTTCTCCATCCAATCCTAATTTGCAAAATCAAATTCATTAATAATCCACATTTGATTTTGCAGTACTTTTCTCTTTCTCATTTGGCCTGTCATAGTTTGACGTGTGCCTATCATAAAAATTACAGCCTCCGCATCCTTGTTAAGTTGGAGGACTTGCACTTGGTGGCGGACTACATCTTTTTTTTCCCCCACTGTCTTCCAGTGAAACATCATAAAATACCTGAACAACTTTCCGCTTGGGCACAAAGCTGTCTGTCCGACCTCACTTGCGATGGAAACTCGAGGCTCGAATGCAATTGATAAGATGGTGTGCTGTTTGCGAGAGAAGTCATTTGATTGATTTGTATAGAATTTGACTTCCGACAGTGATAGCGCAGGGAAGACAGAATGCAATAGGGAGGCAGAAAGGGCTGAGTGAAGTGTTGTATTTGTCGGAGTGTTAATTTTTTTACTTAGTTCAATTTAGATTGTTCCTGACTGCTGCGCATTGGCCCTTAGGTATCAGTTCCATGCGATAATTTCTTATAGCCGACCATGGATTCACAAAAAGTTTGGGTTTTTCAATGTGTCCATTGGCAAGTGTCTGGGCCTCACATTTGTTGATTTTTTTTCAGGAGTGTAATTATTAACCCACGTGACTGAATTTTGAGAACTAAAACGTTTTATATATATTGGAAATGAACTGTTCCATCCACAAAATGCACATCTGAAAGCATAATGGCATGCAGGTCGGTATAAATGATGGATAATTGTAAGTTTTGGGTTTTGCTTAATTAGAATTTAAATTTATGTTAGTCATTCCATGCCTGTACACACCACTAGGGCTATGGACAATGCATGCGGGTAAAATCGTCTGTCCTCTGTTGCACAACTCACTATTGAGTTCCAAGCTTGCTCTGCGTCAACGTCAGCCACACAACTGTTTCGTTTGGGGTTTAGCTCATGAAATGTGGTTACATTGCCGCATACAGCAGCACCAAGCCTAAGATCACTAGGGCAATGCCACGTTCGCTGAGTGGTGTAAAAAGCTCGCCGCCATTGGACCTGAGCTTGGAAATTCTTCTATGGGAGGGGAAAAAATATCGACCCTTCAGGCATCCGCGGACAAATCGGGTTTGGCGGATGGCCAAGCAACGCTACCCCTGTATAGGTTGGTGGAGGAGGATATGGCCTGTGTGTCTGTTTTCATGGTTCGGTCGGGCGTAGGCCCCTTGTTCCGGGTGAAGGTGAATCTTAGCGCACAGCCTACATACATGTCTGAACGGTATGTGCTTCCGACTTTCTTGGCAACAGTTTGGGAGAGGCCTCTTTCCCTGTTTCGCATGACAATCCCTTTGCACAAAGCGAAAGTTCCATACAGAATGGTTTGTCGAGATCGGTATGGCAGACTTGATCTGTGCCTGCAAGGAGCCCTGACCTCAACCCCACTTCGGACATCCATTGGGAGAATTGGAGACGTGCGACGTGGCATGCCTATTGCCAAACCCCTCCCTAATGCTCTTGTTGCTGAATGGAAGCAAGTCCCCGTCAGTCAAACATTCCACTCTAGTGAATCCTTCCAGAAGAGTGGAGGATGTTATCAAGCAGTAACGAGGACCAACTCCATATTAATGCCCATGGATTTTGGGAATGATGTTCGCCGAGCAATGTGTCCCACAATACTTTTGTCAGTAGTTTATCACTATGTATATCACATATATATCACTTGTATACACTATCTATATCACTATGTGGTCACCATATTATCCCTAATGTATATCGACCATATATATCCTAGATATATTCACTATGTATCGATCCACCACATATAACACTATTTATATCCTATATATCACATGTAATATCACATAATATATCACTATATTCCTATATATATCACTATGTAAATCACTATATATATCACTATGTATATCGCTATTAAATCGACTAGGTATATCACCATAATATTCACTGATGTATATCACCTATATATAGCTACTATGTATATCACTATATAGATCTACTATTAAATCACCCATATATATCACTAGGTATATCGCCATATATTCACTAATGTATAGCACCATATATTCACTATGTTATCACCATGATATATCACTCTTGTATATCAACCATTCATCTCACTATTCCTATCACTATATTATCACGATGTCTTCTTATATTCACTATGTCTGGCGCCTATTATACTCATGTAGGCAACTATATACATCACTAATGTATATCCCATATTCTCACTATGTATGTACCGGATATATATATATGTATAATCACTATATTATATCACTATCGTATCCTATTATCACTATGTCATCACATATATATCACTTTTTATTCACCATATATATCACTATGTATTCACTTATTATTCACTATGTATATCGCCATATCATCAACTATGTATAATATACACCATATATAATCACGCTGTATATCACCATATATATCCTATGTCTAGCACCATATATATCACTATGTATATCACTATAGTAGTATCACTATGTATATCACATAATGCACTATGTATTCCCTATATTCACTATTATATCACCAATTACACTATATATCACTAGATATCAACGTGTATAGCCATAGTATCACTATGTATTCACTCTATAATATCAGCTAGTGTATCACCATAATATCACTACATGTATACACTGCTATATATATACACTAGATATAATCACTATATATCATATGTATATCACCATATATAGATCACTTGTATATCACCGATGGTTTCACTATGTAATCCTATATATCATGGTGTATCACCATATGTATCACTATTATATCATATATAGTATCGGATGTACTCACTTGTTATACCACCATATATAGTCACTATGTATCTTCACCATATTTCACTATGTATCTCACCATACATATCACTATGTATATCACCATATATATCACTATGTATGAGGAGTCACTGTTGATATCACTATGTAATCCACCATCTATATCACGATGTATATCACCATATCTAGCACTAGATGTATATCTCCTATATATATAGATTCACTATGTATAATCACCATATATTTCACTATGTATATCACCCTTCTATCACTATGTATACCTCACTAGTCTTCAAGCACTATGTATTCACCTATAATATCACTATTTACCCATATTATCACATGTAATCAATCACCCATAATCATATCCACTATGTATCATTCACTATAATTAATCACTATTATTCACCATCTATATCACTATGTATTCACTATATATATCAACTATGTCTAATCACCTATATATTCACTATGTATTACCATATAGATCACTATGTAATATGCAACCAGGATATAATCACTATGTATATCCTATATAGATCACTATTCCTATTCACCATATATAATCCTATTTATATCACCATATTATCACTAATGTCTACTCACCATATTATCACCATGTACAGTTCATCGCAGTATTTCAACCCAGTGACTTAACTTGGATTAAATTGTTTAATTTTTTTCTCAATCAATTTAACACACACTACCCCCTAAGATAAAGCTAAACAGTGTTGTATATTTTTTTCAAATGTACTAAAATAAAAAACTGACATTTACCTCAGGTACTTTGTTGCAGCACTGGGTGGCAAAGTTGTCAATTGTTGCTAACTAGTGCGGTACATCACTGTGTTTACAGATGGTATCAAACTTGCAGAGTGGACCCATAAGCAACTTGTGCCCTTAGAGCGATTGTGCACCTTTGTGTCTGTCTGACTATTGTGGGATGTAGTTCCCTAACATGCTGGTCATGGGGTGTTTTGATGTGTTTGTAGTGTATATGTGTGTGTTGTCGTTCATGAACCCAAACATCCTGCCTGAGCACGGCAGGTAACCCCAACACACTACTCCCTCGGGCACCGATGACTTCACGTCGATTGAGGCATCCCCCAGCACACTCTATGAGTTCAAGGGGTGTTGGTTAATTGTGGAAGACCTTCAAGTTGACATGCCTTCGTTGTCACAGCTGACTATGTACCAACCCCCTCCCCTATCCCACATCCGTAAGTGGTATCTACCTTTTCCGCAAGGATTTGGCACGCAGCGTTACCTTTTGGCATTCCACCATTTGCTTCCTGGGGCCACAAGGCCTGTGTGAGTCCGACTGCAGCGCACACTTGTATGTTTACACCCTCAGTGGGCACTGTAGCCTTTTCACTGGCGTGTTGTCTGCCTCCTACCTGTCTGCTCCCTGCTGTCTGTCCCTAGCCTGCCATGCCTGTCTGGCCTGCCTGCCTGTCTGTCTGCCGCCCTGACTCCCTGATCCCTGCCTGTCTGTCTGTCTCGCCTGTCTCCTGTCTTCTGCCTTCTGCCTCCCTGACTGTCTTCCTGTCTGTCCCTATCTGATTGCCTGTCTACCTGCCTGCTACCTTAATTTCGCTGCATCCCATGTCTGCTCCCTATCTGCCTTGTCCTACCTGTATGTCTGCCTCCCTCTCTGCCTGTC